TGTGCGCACTCCAAGTGAAGAGCTGCTCCGCATCACAATGGTGTGGTCCGTCTCCCCCCCCTCTTCCTCCCCCATCTACACTCCACCCCCTCGCCCGTCATTCCCCCATCAGCATCACCACTCATCTGTGGTTTGGTTCGTCTTCCCCCCTCCACCCGTACGTCACCGCCAACTCAAGTGCTGCCTAAGGTTCACCCCCCTCTCCCACCTCACCTCCCCTTCACCCCCTCCCCTCTTCCGTCACTTCTTCCTCCTTACCCTCTTCCTCCTTACCCTCTTCCTCCTCACCCCTTATCACGCCCCCCTCTCGCCCCCTCTTGTTTGTAAGGTCGGGGCCCCAGCCCGCAGCCCGCCCGCGGACCGGGCCCCCCCCCGCTAACACAACTACTGGTGCCAGTACGCACACGTGTACACATATACGACACTCCGCTCCAAGTTGTCAACTCTCTTCACCCTCTCCCGAACCCGGATATAGACCCCTCCGTAGCTAACTTGGCCCGTCACCTCCCGTCTCCTTCCCTTCCTCCTCCTCCTCGTATTGCCCCTGCCCAGTGCCCCGCAGTTATCGCCGGGTTTGGCGGAGGTTGCTTCTCCTCGTCCTCCCCCTCCTTGTCCTCCCCCTCCACCTCCTTTCCCTCCAACGCCACCTCCACCAACGCCACCTCCAGAGCTAGAGGTCATCCTCTCAGCTCGGGTCAGCCAGTTCGCTGCTTCTTGGCGACCGCCTTGAGACGTTTGAGCTTTTCCTTCCGGTGTCGCTCCTCCTCCTCCTCCGCCATCTCGTCCTCCATTCGGCCTGAAGACAAGGGCAATGGCGACGGTGAGGATGATAATGATAATAACAATAATAATGATAATAATAATAATAATAAAAATAATATAATAATAATAACAACAATAATATAATAATAATAATAATAATAATATAATAACAACAATAATAATAATAATAATATGATGATGATGGAAACGACGACAAACCACAACACAAAAAAGATGTTACAACAAGTACGGCACAAGGTAACAATTTTTTACATTGCTGATAATGTTTAAATTAAATTCAACGTCTACACAGGCAGTATTGACCAGGTCATGCACAGCGGAGTGCATGCCCCGGGGGGGGGGACAGGTGTTTGGGGTATTTCCCCCCGGAACCCCCCTGCCCCTCGGGTCGCCATGGCCTAGCGCCATCTCCCGTACATACTCGTACGACCCCCTCACATCCGAATTGTGAATTTTACCCTTTCACGCTCATCATTACAATTTCGTTCGAAAATCGAGCACGATTTCCTCACTTTGTCGAGAGCCGTTGCGTTCCCTTCTTGGCAACTGACAGTCGCCTAGTCCACGAGATGCTAACTCCCTAACTTTTTCGTTAGCCTTACTCTTCCTTTTCCTCCTTTACCGATTTTTGATTAAATAATCCATCATGCACCTTCGCAAAGGCCTTCACAGAAAAAAATAAAAAATAAACCCTAAGATATATTCATCCACCAAGGATATAACGCCCAACCCACATATAAACCTACATACACACACGGTGTCGACAACTCTCCCCCGGGCCCCCAAGTGGGGCTCTCAAACACCCACCCACCCGCCGACCTGCCGACCCGCTCGCGCCGCCCACCCCCCGTCTCCTCCTCCGCTAAGGAAGCTTCCGCGTATCCATCTACCCGGCAGGGGCACTCACCCATTCGCTCGCTCCGCTTCTCCTCCGCCACCACTTGACGCCAAGAGGCCTCCATCATCCTGTCGTCAAACGGATCGTCACGGTAGCGACTCGGATCGTACCTGCGCGTCGCCGTACATTCACAATTCCGTACATTTTCGTTAGCTCGTTGTACGCCATGCAAGTGAAAAACACAAACAAAGCACTCGGAAGGGTGAAAAGGGAGCAACACTGACAGTGGCGAAACTGGCGTATGTGTGTGTGTGTGTGTGGCGGGATGTGAGAAAGCAAAGCTAAGCCATGTGCACATACATACATGAATACATTCGTACCCCCTCCCCTTCCCTCTTCCTCTTCTCTATGAACCCATTCAGAACGCCATTACTGAAACCCCTCCCCTTTCCTCCCCTCCTCCCCTCCCCTAACCCCCCTCCCCTACCCCCCTCCCCTACCCCCCTCCCCTACCCCATCCTCTAAGCAGGTCCCCTCCTCTCCCCCCGTCACGTCGCAATGACGTCAATAGTCAGTCTTTGAGGTTGTCCTCCGCCTCCTCCCCCCTCCGCCTCCTCCCCCCTCCGCCTCCTCCCCCCTCCGCCTCCTCCCCTTTCAGCACTTTCCCGCACGCGGTCACCCCTCCCGTGCCCACTGCCCAAACTCCGCCACTCACCCCGTTGCTGCGAAACTGCCCGCCTTGTTCGCACCCCTCCATCCAGCCCCCGGCCCGCCCCTCCCCCTACAGGCACCCCCTCCAGTGTCGGAGTCCAGGGGGCCCCCCGGGCCGGAGGGGGCCCTCCTACCAACCCCCCTTTCCACCTCCCACCTCGTCCGACGGATACGCGTGAACTTCTCAGTCAGAAAATG